GTGCTGTGGTTTCCTCCCACTGTCAAATGTTAGGTTGGATTAGCCATGCTAAATTGCCCATAGTGTCCAGGGAGGAGTGGGTTAGTCATGGGAAATGCAGGGTTATGGGGATAGGGTAGGGAATGGGGATGGTCTGGGTGGAGGTCAGGTTTGGAAGCATCTGTCGAGAAAAAGCAGAGTGACCCATCTTCAGTGTGGACTTGATGGGCTGAGTGGCCTCCTTCCACACTGAAAGGATTCTATGATGATGAATAAAAGCAGGAAGTGCTGGAGAAACTTAGCAGCTCTGTGGAGAACCAAAAGTTAATGTTTCAAGTCCAGTATGATTCTTTATCAGTATACTTACTGGATTTGAAATGTAAACTCTGTTTGTCTCTCCACAGATACTGCCAGAACTGCAAAGTTTTTTTTATTTTGGATTTCCAGCATCCACAGTATTTTGCTTTTAGCAAGGAACAGGATAGGCTGTGCACCCCTAAAGCACATTCTACCATTTCAAATCATGACTGATCTGATTATAACCTCAAATCCCTGCCTACCTCTGATAACCTTTCACCCTCTTACTTATCTATCCACGCCTGCCTTCAAATACTCTGCTTCGACTGCCTTTTCAGGAAGTGTTCACAGCCCTCTGTGTGTTATAAATGAGTCTTGCCTCAATTTTAAATGATGACCCTTGGTCCTAGAACATGTTACAGGTATCAATGTCTATAGGTATTAGTGCAGGAAAATTGCATTTATGGAGGTCAACTATAGCGCATGCTTGAAGGATCCACTTCTTCCATTTCCTATAGTCCACTTTGTGATTGCTCTATCCTTTCCTCACATACTATTTTCTGTTGAATATTTAAACCATTCACAGATTTGATTTGAAAACATTTTCTAGTGAAGTATTCCTTAGCCTAGCAACTCTGTGAACTAAAAGCTTCTAACCTCTCTCTTCATTGATTCAGTAATGATCTTTTAAATTTGTCTTCCAATTACCATATCTTTAAACAATGCAAATAGTATTTTTCCCCACCGATTTCCTTTGTCAAAACCGTTGAAACAAGTATGAAGTAGAAGCTAAACTTGAGGAAGGAACTTTTTGAGAAGAGGTGCAACCCATAACTTCTGTCATTTTTTCTAAAATATGGAAGCCCCATCACTAAAAGTTAGACCTGCAAAGTGTGACAACATTTTTAGCCCAATTTAAAAAAAATACAAAAAATGTGGATGCTGGAAATCAGAAACAAAATCAGAATCTATAAAAGTCACCTGGACGAGTACACGTATATGAAGGATTTAGCGGAAAATGGGCCAAATGATGGCAAACGAGACCAGATTTGTTTAGGATATCTGGTTGGCATGGACAAGTTGGTCCGATGGATCTGTTTCCGTGCTGTACAACGCTGTGATTTTAGATTGCTGGAAAATCTCACCAGGTTTGGAACCATCTGTGGAGAGAAAGCAGAGTGACCCATCTTCAGAACCATTTCACTGAATAGCTCAGAGGTGGTGTATTGGTTGTGTTTGCACTTGTTTTTGACAGGGCAACAATGTTGTGGTTAATTTTTTGGAGTGAAATTCCAAAGTTAAAATGCCATCAGCATTTTCAGTTAAGTTTTCAGAGAAAGGCCGGGAATGTTTGTGTTTAGTACCACTAACGTTATTTCTGGTGTATTTCAGTTAGTGTTCTGGCTTGCATTCCTGAACGTGATTGCATTGTTACTTTCTGTACGTAGCATGTTTAGTATTTGTAGTGCTTTACCATTGGAAGATTAATGGGTTTAAGAGTACAGCTTGTTTATAATGTGTAACACATAGTGAGCATGTCCTTGAATTTTAACTACCTTAAATGGAGAAAAACTGCAGAGAAAAAAGGATGGGGCATTTTGTCACTGACCTTCCAGCTCATGTATCAGCACTTCAATGCATCCAGTTCCCTCCCAGAGTTGAGTTCATGGTACAGTTATTTGGCACACATCCTGTTGTCTCAGTTGCCAAGGATGTGGGAAATTGTAGTGTCACACCTGTTCATTGGCACACGAAATGTGGGGGTTCAGCTATGTTGACTGCATAATATAGAGGGAGCGTTTTACCCTGTAATTAACCCCTTGTTGAACATTGGAACAGGAGTAGGCCGTTCAGCCTCTCAAGCCTGTTCTATCATTCAATGAGATCATGGCTGATCTGTTGCCTAACTCCATATAATTGCCTTTGGCCCATATACCTTAATACCTTTGTTCAACAGAAATCTGTCTAGCTCAGATTTAAAATTAACAACAGATCTAACATCAACTACCAGTTGTGGAAGAGAGTTTCAAATCTCTACCACACTTCTTCTGTCAAAGTGCTACCAATCTCTCCTGAATGGTCCCACCCTAATTTTTAGATTATGTCCCCAGTTCTAGAATCCTCAACCAGTGGAAATAGTTTATCTACCCTGACTTTTCCTGTTAACATCTTAAAACTTCAATCAGATCACCCTTAACTTTCTAAATTCTAGAGAAATCAGGCTAAATTTGTTTAATCTCTCCTCATAACTTAAGTCCAGGTATCATCCTTGTAAAACTACATTTGTACTCACTCCAAGACCAAAATATTGTTCATGAGGTGTGGTGCCCATATCTGCTCATAGTATTCCAATTGGGGGTCTAACCAGGGTTACGTATAGCTGCACCATAACTTCTGCATTGTTAGATTCCAGTCCTCTGGATATAAAGGCCAGCAGTACATTTAAACCGCCTTGATTATATTCTGGTGTGGAAGCATTTGAAAGTGTACAAAGAAACTATCCCGTGTGTCTAACGCATTCTGTACCCCAGAATGTTAAATGCTGATTTTCTGCTCAAGTGTAGAGATATAATTACACATTTCATTGAAAGAAAATGTGATTTTATTAAGCAATATTCACAATTGCTGCATAATTGAAAAGAACTTACCAATGTGGAATTACTTTTGGTAAACAAAATAGAAGATAAATTTCATCTGATGACGGGTCTTTCTGGTACCCTGTATGCGTCCAGGTGTTAATAGCAACAACTTGTATTTATAAAGTACCTGTAACAAGGTACATCTGAAAGTGCTTCATAGGAACGTTAAACAAAATTCAACGTGGAGCGCCATAAGGAGATACAAAGAAATCAACAGCTTTGTCAAAAATAAAGAGGAGGTTGAGTGGATCCATGAAAGAAGACAGTGTGAGAGAGAAGTTTAAGGAGGGAGTTTGAACACTTCTAGTTCAGCCAACTGAATTTACAATAAGCAACGTTCAGGCAAATTCCATAGAATCCCTACAGTCCAGAAAGAGGCCATTCGGCCCATCGAGTCTGCACCGACCCTCCGAAGAGCATCCCACCAGACCTACCACATCCTTGTAACTCTGTGTGGGGTTTTCAGCATGGCTAACCCAGCTAACCTGAATATCTCTGGACACTATGGGGAATTTTTTAGCATAGCCAATCCACCTAACCTGCATTGTGGGGAAACCCATCGAGACACTAAGACATACAAACTCCACACAGACAGTTGTCCAAAGGCTGGAAACAAACCCGGGTCCCTGGTGCTGTGAGGCAGCAGTGCTAATCGCTGTACTGCCATAAAAAAAAATCACTTGCACAATTAATGTGTGCAGTTGAGAAGCAAAAAAAATGTTTTTTCTTTCATCACAATGTTGCAAAACAAAATGCTGTTTGTTTGAAATGTAGTCAGTTGTAATGTAAACAAAAATGTGGCAGCTAATTTGTGCACAGCAAGCACCAAAAATCACAGTGTGATTATATGGTCATTGTGTTTTATTGATGTTGGGTAAGGGATCAATATCAGCCAGGAGATCAGAGACAGCCACCACCGTCCTTAGAAAATCGTGGCACAATGCTTATGTCACCTTATTATTATTCCAGAAACCCGGGCTAATGTTCTGGGGATGTGAGTTTGAATCCCACCATGGTGGCTGCTCAAAGTTTGGGTTAAATTAAAGCTTTGTAATCATGGTAACTATTATTGTAAAAGACTATCTGCATCACTAACAATGGAAATCAGTCATCCTTTGCTGGTCCAGCCTTTATGTGATCCCCAGCCACATAGCAACGTTGCTGATTCTTAACTGCTCTCTGGATTATTAGGGATGACGAATAAATCCTGGCCTAGCCAGTGATGTCCACATCCCAAGAACAAAACACAAAAAGGGAACAGTGAAGTGCCATCTCGGTACTGAACTGGGAGTGTCAGCTGGATTTTATGATCAAGTTTCTGGAGCCAAAACATTTTAAACCGAAGCAAGCTGTTCATTAGTGATGGATCTAACAGGTCTAATCAATTTGCTAACCTATTGCTCAACTGACAACCAACAATTTTCATCTGAACAGAATTATGGGATGACTTGTGAGAACCTTTCACGACTATTTGTTAGAAGTAACCAGATCTGATATTGCCTGTGAAAATCAAGGTATAATCATAAAGAGTTAAAGCTGTGCAGAAGAAACAGTTGGCTTCTGGGTGCTTAGAATATGAAGTTATTTACAACAAACCATTTCAGAGGTACATCATAACATCTCTGAACAGGTTGATTAGAAAACATCTCTATTTCTTGAAGCAAGATATTTCTTTCACAAGGTAATTAGCTGTTTGAAACAGGAATAACAAGGATGCAATGGCAGGGGGGCAAGTATAAGAGTACGATTAGAATAGATGAAAAGGCACTGCTCAAATAGGAGCTTATTTGATGACTGGACTGAAATATTCAATGATTTTACACTTTAAATAGTGACATTGGATTTTTCATAAATAAGATCCACAACAATTACACAAACAGGAACACAGGGCTTTGTCCCAAAGGTTAGACAACGCAATGTTCCCCGTCAGTACTGGATGGAAGAGGTGTCCAAGTCTTGAGGGGGGGCTTGAACCCACAACTGTGAGAGTACTACGTAAAGTGAGCTATTCCTGGACTCCCCTACTGGGAGTGTGTGTGTGAGAGAGAGTGAGAAAAACGTGAGAAATCAAGAAAGAATAAGCAGTTATAGATACCACATTTATTGCATTATTTGGACAAGCCAATTTGTAATCACATTTAATTGCACTTGAAAAATAAGACTGGGGGAGAGAAAAGGCAGCATATGTAAGAATATTAATACATTTCCATGATAGATTTTAGTCCATCAGTTAAATATGTGCAAGAAAATCCATCAATTCCTCATGGATACTGAAGGCATGAAAGTAAGTAATCAAGTAATGAGAAAGCACCATGTTTCACTTTGAATTACATTGCAATTAATTTGAACTCTTGACAATTAAAGTTAATAAGACTTCCTGCCTGTTTCACATTAGACTGGGACACCTGGGCTAAAACAGGAACTGTGACCATTTGAAAAAAAAGCTTAAGAGTCCAGCCCTTTTAGAAAAGTAACAAAAAGTATAGTAATACATTAGCATAATACTTCATTCAATACAAATTGTCACAGCAGCATATGGATGATCTTATTAGCGAGTCTTCAACTCCTGAGATGGCATTGGCCAAATCTTGATTATGAAACTGAGGGGATAGGGTGGACCCAAATTAGCTGGTAGGGTGAGGGGGCAACGTCACAAAGCACTTGTATTTTCTGCTTCATACAAAGTACCTGTACATTAATATAAAGGAGAGAGACAGCACAAGCAAAAGCAAGGGGAAAAAAGAAAAATGAGGTCAACCTAATGGAGGGAGTTGTGGATGGGGTAATATATAAAGTTATACATGATCTCAAGTGCCAAAGAGGCCAACTAGAACACACAACTCAGAGCTCTGAGCAAACCTGGGATCTTCCAACAGAAAGAAATAATAGCCATGCAACAATTTTTGCCAACAAACAGATGGGAAAGGTTTGGAGCGTCACCAAGATGGCAAAGCTTGAAGTACCATCTGACATATAGTTGTGTGACCATTTTACTAGCTCAAGTTTTCCATCACAATGATAAAGGGGTCACACGTTTGATCTTCACAGGAATATGCAAACAAGACCAAATTCCATCTAGTTCACCTCCTACCAATTTGATACAATGAGCTATTGATAAATCATAGGAATTAGTCTGCATCATTGGGTGTGCTGCAGACCAAGACATATGGTGAGGAAAGCCCCTCGTGGCATATAGCTTTGGATCCATAGTAATCTCATCCCCAACAAACGCCCACCCCGTTCCATGTAATGGTACACTCACCACATGCCATGTCTCAAATTATTCATTACATTACAAATTATATAGTTTCTTAAAGTGTGTTTCGGAGTGAAATCTAGCTAATCTTTTCACACACTTGTCCATTTTACGCTTCCCTGTATCGTGTGCAAAAAAAGGCACAAAAGCACAGCAGCCAGCAAATCAACATTACTTAAAATTAAAGAGCTGACAATCACTTCTGAGGAAGGGTCACCAGACCTGAAGCGTTAACTCTGATTTTCTTCTTCATTGATGCTGCCAGATCTGCTGAGCGTTTCCAGCAACTTCTGTTTTTGTTCCAATCACTTCGCTAAATTCAGTTCTTTTAAATTTTCATGTCATTATAGCCTGCTTTGAAAAGGATTAGGTATGTTTTAAAATGATGAGATGCAGGACTGCTTTCTGAATTATATCGCACTAAAACACATTTGCCACCCAGAACAACACAGCACTTATATTCATATTTAAGGCATTTGACTTTCTCTCCTTCCTTCACTGAAACTTCCCCTGGCTCAATTCTACCCCAACTCCTCCTAGGCAGGCTTTGAGCCTCCCCTTGACTGTAAAAGGAGCAGAGGTGAAACAATTTGGGATAAGCGTTTGGCAAACTGGTTAAAGGAGTTCTCTTTCTCCACCAGATACACAGAAGCATGGATGGCGTGTTGCAAGTGGGCAGCATGGAAGTAAGCACCTATTCAGTCCTTAATACCCCAAATAGTGTTATTAAGTTGAGGGACTCACGGTGGAGTGCAGGCAGGGTCTTGCTCGTTAACTGAATCTCCCCATCTTAAGCGAGGTAGGAGGTTTCTCTACAAGTGCAGCTTTTACTAGTCCAATCCTGCATTGTCTAGTCTGAGACCCCATTCAAATTGACAATAAAAGGCAAGATAAGGCATAAGGCAATTAAAAAAAAAAAGCAGGTTAGAAAAAACCAGTTACAACACTGTGCACACAATGAAAGAAAAAGCACAGGAAATGCAGAACAGAGTGCACTAACATTCAACAGAGAGACTGGTTGATGTTTCAGCTCAGGCTCATTAGAACCAAAGAATACTGAAGGTTTTCTGTTCAATTTCACCTTGTTCTTTGAACACCATTGAAAACACTGAAATGGTTCAGGGTCAATGGCCAGTGCAATTCTGGACAGTGAACACTGCAAGCTTCAACAGAGAATTCTTCCACAAACAGCAGCGAGTACTGGATCAAGTGCTGATTATAAATTTGAGATCTGCAGATCATTTGTTAACCAAAGTTATTAAGTGATGTGGAGTCAGGTCACAAATTAGAATCTGATCAGGCTTGAAGGGCTTAATGGCCTCCTCTTCTTATATGCCAATGTAAATAAAACACAGTCTTGCTCAGTAGGCTGACTGCTGCAAGGCATTACGCAAACATTGTGACAAATCGGAAACAAAATCGAGCCTTGAGATGATGCTGAATCATGGCAGTTGTTTAGCTGCATCAGGCTGTACCAAATGAACAACTGGTCCTCAGTAATTGTACCAGTGGGGGGATTACTAAATACTAAGCAGCAATGCAGAGGACTGAGCCACAACATATTGGACCCAGGTGTGATATCTTTACCATGGAAACTAGAAGTTGGCTTCTACTACATGGAACAGATATTCAGACATGGATGTGCTAAGTGGAGAGGAGATTACATTGTACAGAGAGATGTGGACTTTAGTCCTTTGGAATTCCAAACTTTGGGATAGGATTGTATTGGGATAGGATTGTATTGGGATAGGATTGT